CCCAGTGCAGCCTGTCTGGAAATGCACTGTAAGTCAGTTGGGAACTACACATGATCAGTCTGGGATCAGTCACGGTTAGCTATCACTGGCGCTATCCATAAAGGTCAATCAAGGTGGGGTGTGGAACAGTGTCAGTACTGGGTTCAACTCAAGGTGAGTTGGAGGGGGATGTCATCGCTGTGACAGGAAATTTGACAAAGTTAATTCAGAGGAATGTAAGCAGTGTGCTAGGATATAGAAGAGATAATAATTGCGAAGGGGACAAATTCAATTTATAATGGGGGAGACAAGAGTGCATTGAAGGATATGGCTTACTGCAGTATGGGTCAATGATGACTACAACTAACCTGGCTTTAACAGAGGTGAGTTCATAACGTGGCTGGCATGTCCAAGACGTAGACTCACTGGGATTGAGGGAAGAGGAGCATTCCCTTCAATACGGTTTGAAGATGGAATGAGACAAAGGATGGGTAACTTGTGTGGCTTGGTTCTTAAATAGCAATATATTCATGAATGTGTACTTGCAGGTGTAAAGAAGTATCAGCTGCATCATCTTGTTTCCTGAGAAGCATTTCTTATCCATTTCCGTTCCACAACATGTTCAGCAAAAAGTAACACTTGACTGGCAGCGTGTAACCTGGTTCACGGTTGGATTTCAGAAATTATGCTGGTTCTGGGAATCCCAGGAGGTCCTTGCAGTGATGAATACTTCTACCACTGCTGACAGAGAAGTTCAGATGAGTGGGTGCCGTAAAGGTACTAATGAGGCAAGTTTCAAAGAGATCTTGAGAAATTTCACTGGGGCTCATGGAGAGATACCCTCCATGGAATACATCAAAACCGACATTCAGACAATTCTTGGTGAACTACAGACCATTGTTTCTACAAGAGGAAAGGAAAGAGCCTTCGATTAGTAGCTGAAAATGCAGCATTCTCTCAGTCATTCATTGGCATGCCCACCTAGATTGAAGAATTTTCCCAGAGGACAACTCCAACTATGGTACTTTCCACTTCTACCAGTACATGGTGCTGGGTAAGGATTATTTTAGACAGTTTGCTGTCACCAATTTCCTATGTCATTTTATTGTCTTGGGCCAGTCTAGTGATTAGTGTTGGAGGATACACCAAACAGTATCTAAAGCAGTGGCATTGTTCACAAATAACAAGAAGGTTTATTGCATGAAAACAATATGTATAACTACATTAGGTCAGGCATAATTACCAGGATATTAGGATGCTGGTAAAGATATATCTGCTCCCTCCAAAAGCAGAACTCCTTGACTCCATTCACAGACTGTGTGACATCAGTAAAATGGGCAGAGACAATGTAATCCCTTCAGAGCCATTACTTCAGACAGTGTAGATGTGGTACTTAAGTCTTTGGAGTGGGAATTGAATTTTTGGAGTGGGAATTGAGTGGCAATTTTCTTAGACGCGCAAGTGCTACCGACTGAGCAATATGTAACACATTATAAACACATATACGGTTTGCCGAATAGATCCTGTAAAATGCTGGCAGACAGATTACAGAACATTTTCTTCATTCAGTATTTGTCATAGATTTGTAAAAGGTAGAGAAATTGAAAATTAGAGAAAATTACTGCAAAACATGTCATGTACAGAACAGATGGTGATGCCAGAACAAAACATTTCCATCAAATGCTTTTGATTCCTTTGATATATCAGTTTCCAATAGTTATCATATTGCTGCTTGAGCAAGAAATGGGGATCGTAATTAAGGTTGGTTTCTACAGTAGCTTTATAATCTAGACGAGTGAACTGCATAGGGGTTGGGTTAGTAAGGTAAGGATTTCACCAGGTGGTTCTGAAATATTTGATATACTATTTAGTTTCAAAATGGTAAATGAAATGAATTAAATATCCTTATTAAAATAAAGTATACACCACAGTTTTTCCTGTGAAAGAATCAAAATGGGGCTTTTTACTTGTTATCCCCATTTCTATAAAAATTCTGAAAGCATGAGCCTGCCTATAACAACCAATGAGAAGGTAAGAGATAGTTTTCCGTCCGTTCCTTCTTTTTTAAAGCATGTTATAAAACAAGGCAGTTCACTAGGACCAGAAAGGGGGAAATGCTCTGACTTTATAAGCACATTGTTTGCCTCAATTTGTAGTTTTAAGGAGAAGCAAAGATTTGACAGAAGAATGATCCATTATTTAATTCAAAGACCTGTCACTGCATAGAACGCAAAATGCTTATAACCTGAACAACCTAAATTTAAATTATAATTGCATTTCCCTTCTTGAGCCCAAGATTATGTGGTTTAATTGTTTTAATTTAATTGAGATTGTTTGATTTAATCTTTTCTCTTCATATCCTAACCATTCTTGAGATAGAATGAAGAGTATTTTCGCAGACCCTGGTTTTTGTATTCCAATCTTTGAAATAAAGCCACAGAAAAAAAGCCCTAAGATGAAGTCAGCTATAAACTTAAACTGCCTACACAAGCCTCTGTACAACATGCTCCTGGTTTCAGTCATGTAATTAAATATTAGGATGGAAGAATTGAAAAGCAAAATTTTCAGCCCATAACTCTGAGCAGTTAATCAGGAAAAGCATGAATAAAAGTTTAAAACGAAAGCTGTAAACTCACACACAAGCACAGGTCACTCAATGATATACACCCACACACACAAATAAATACACATCACTGACAGATGTACATGCTCACACATGTCAATCAGAGTTTATCAAACACTTAATATTTTCACCCTTCTGGCTGGGTATATGCCTTCTGGCATAAACTGGAGAGAAAGAGCAGGAAGAAATAAGTAAGGAACAGAAATTCAAAGAGTATTGTTATACTTACTGTTATGTTGACCATACTTATCTGTATGTACAACACCTTATGTCAAATCATGCGGTTTTTCTCATTCATATACAAGATGTGGGGTGTTACTAGCAAAGCCAGCACTTACTGCATTGTAGCCAAAGGACGTGAATAGAAATTCCAAAGAAAGCTGCATTCTCTTCTGTACCTTTGAGGTTTAAATTCTGTTTCTTTAAAAAATGGACCACCTGGCTGAACTCATAAAATGGCCAAGGTTAATCACATGATTATGTTTCTGGAGGCTCCTAAACCCTCTGCATTGAATACACACACTAGCTAAAGATGAATCAAAGGGTCTGGAAATGAACTGTCTTCATTCAACCAGCTCTGGACGAACGAAAGGATCAAGACTCATCATGCTAAATGAGCACTAATACCTTTTCAGTTGCCTCATCACCTCATAGTGCAAATTCTAGGAGCAGGGGTAGGTAAAACTACACTGTTGGCTTAATGCTAATCTAATTAGCCCACATGGATGGCCCTTCAACACGTGAAATGCCTGTCTCTGTTAAATGACTGATATCTGAGCTCATTGAATTGCCTAACTGAACAATACAAGAACTTTACGTCACTGAGAGGTAGTAAGAACTGCCGATGTTGGAGTCAGAGATAACACAGTGTGGAGCTGGAGGAATACAGCAGGCCAGGCAGCATCAGAGGAATAGGAGAGTTGACATTTTGGGTCGGGATTTTCTGAAGAAGGGTCCTGACCCAAAATGTCAAATTTCCTGCTCCTCTGATACCGCCTGGCCTGCTGTGTACCTCCAGCTCCACACTGTGTTACTTTATGTCACTTGCTGTTTGACCTCCGGCTGAAGAGCAAGACTTCAGG